GTCAAGAACGAAAAAAAATGAAAGAATGAGAGGAATGAAGTGACAAAGAAAGGAAGACAAAAATTAAATAAAAAGGACAAACACTCAAGTGGCCGACGAATTTTTGGATGACTAATTATAACTGCTAAAGTTTAGAAATCCGGTCACGGTAGCTGAGCGGTCTAAGGCATGTACTGTCTTCACCCGCTTGGAAACCGGGATCGTGGGTTCGAATCCTACTCAGGGCACGGATGTTTAGTTTGTATGTGCGCGTTTCTGTGTTTGTGTCCAGGTAGAGGCCTTGCGACGAGCTGATCACCCGCCCAAGGAGTCCTACCGAATGTGTAAGATCTAGAAAAACCGAAGTGAACGGAGAAGTTCAAGGAGGTAGGTCTAGGCCCACTGGGGCTGTAGTGCCAAGGAAAAAAAAGTTTAGAAAGCCTAGATACTATACGGTTCTGACGATGGTGTATAACACACAGAGATACTGGGTTTTCGGACTTTGTCCGTCGTCCGGATTCTAAATAACTAACTTAACACAATGTTTCGGAAACTGGATCTGTTTCCGTCTTCAGGTGAGAGCAGACACCTACTCTGTTGGGTCCCTCAGAAAGAGCTAGCCTCAATGGTCCCGTGACTGATGCTAGCTCTTTCTGAGGGACCCAACAGAGTAGATGTCTTCCTTCACCTGAAGACGGAAACAGATCCAGTTTCCGAAACGTTGTATTTTTTCTTAATTATGTAGAATCCGGACGATGGACAAAGCCCGAAAACCCAGTATCTCTGTGTTTAGAAAACCTGCCTTTGTTCTTTCTCGTAGCATGCTCCTAAGGAAATTATTGTTTGATATAGAACGCATCTTTTGAGGAAGATTATTAAAGTCTATTTTAAAGACCGATATCCTCCGGGTTCATATCTGCTATATCTTCCACACAAAGGAAGCAAAATTCTTGGTTACCTTTAAGATTTTTCCTCATTCGAAATATAATACTATAAATTTTTCCCCGGTGATATGGGGTGTTCATTTTAAACAGCTTGTAGCGTATCACCCATCGTAAATACTTCCACAGTCAGGTCTGAGCCTGTTGCTCCATACGCCGCGTCACGTGTCTTATGCAGTTTTGTTCGTTATGCCTCGACATCAGATCCGCGATAAGTAAGTTACAAGGTTATTTTCACCGCTGACCTCAATAATTTATTGCTAAGGACTTTGATATTTGTTTCAATAATTTAAACAGAAATGATGAATACCAGAGTCATGCACTTTGTTCGATTCGAAAAAAAAAAGTGAAATAAAACATGACGATGTTCTTTAAAAACCAAGTTAAGAACTGAATTACAAAATAGAACGAACAAACTTCACAGAGCACAGTCTTTATGAGAATCTAATAGGCGCTCAGCTACGGAAACTATTACCTGCATTTTATAGAACTTTTAGCGGCCTCCGTAGTCTAGGGGTAACGTTCCCACCTCATGACTCAAGGTACGCGGAGGTCGTGGAATTTTTAAGGGCGTAAAAATTCAAGGAACAAGTCCTCCGGGAGGGACTTTAAGCCATGGGTCCCGTGTCGTAGATTTAGGGCATGTAAAAGATCCTCGTGTCTCTAGGAGACCTCTGAGCAAAATTAGGCAAAATGTTTCCCACCCAAGTAGTTTCCAATGCCTCCGGTAGATGGGGAAGTTAGCGGGTACCAATGCCAGTAGAGGGCCGACCTCGCTGGCAGAAAGGGGAGAGTTATCGGGTACCACTGCCAGTAGAGGGCCGACCTCGCTGGCAGAAAGGGGAGATAGCGGGCACCACTATCGGTTGGGTATGGCGACAGTAGAAATTAAAGGGGGACGTACAATAGACTATTAGTCGCGGTGCATGGGGAAACCCACCCCCTCTATACTGAATAACTGAATATAGAACTTTTAATATTTATCGCCATGTTTAGGCTTACAAGAACCGTATTCTGAGGCACAATTCTAAATTCTATCTCGGTGATAGCAACAGCGATGATAAGATAATTCCTTCTTGTGACATTTAATGATATGAATAGAATGATGATTCGGTGGTGACCTACATTTTGGTACTAAAATAGCGTACATTCGTAGCGATTATAAACAATGTTTGTAGTGGTGATAATGAGACTGGTGATACAGGAAAATATGATTACAGAGGCGACGATGAGTAGGATATAGGACAAGAAAAATGGGTGTAATTATGAAGACAATTACGACGATAACAGCAACAACCGGATGACAAAGACATGCGCTGTTGCTAATCTCTACCAGGAATCGTTTTATAAGTATATAATTTTGCCTGATAATATTAATGTATAATTTTATTAGTGGAGCTTCTGTCTCCAATCGGACCCGTGACGTAAGTTATAATTATAGCTTCACACTCCATACCGCATCCTGCAACTCAACTGGGGCTCCGAAAGAAGAAACGCGGACCCCTCATAGTTATTCTCAACGCAAACAATTCTCGAGTCGTATAATTATACTGCGAAAATGGACATTGTATCCAGCATTTTCAAAACAAAGCTTTTCAAGATAATTGTCCAGCCACGGTGGTACTTAGGTGTTCCTTGTGCGTGGTTTTCTGATGTCAGGCTTGTGTCCCTTTTATTGATTTGCTAATGCTCTTGAACATCTTCCTTATATGCCTTACTTATTTGCCGCAAGATGTAAAAGTGGCCCATTTTGTCTTGTGGTCTGTGTGTATAGTTTAGTTTTGTGGATGTGGTAGTTGTTTTTAAATTAGACTTGCGTTGTATTCGTTTTTTCCGCTGTATGCTTCTAATGGTGTTTCTGTTTGTTTTGATATTTTGGTTATTGGGTATGTGTGTAATCTATTTAGTAGTTTTATGTTCATATGAATGGCAAGAACTATTAGGTATTATACGTAATATCGATTTGTGTTGGCTTCCTATATACGTGTTAAAGTCATTAAGTTTGTGGAATGTGGTTTTATCGCAACATATTACAAGGTATTCACATACACTTACGCAGTTTGATTTGTTTCATTCTGGTCCGTCACACTAACAATTACAGATATAAATCACTCCGTACTTATAAGTACTTATAAGTATGTATAAGTGTACGTACTTTACGTCTAAACAACTTATGTGATGGTGGTTTCCTATTTGTAGTGATGTTTGCCCTCTGAAGATGGTCCACAGAGACCGAAACATGTAAGGGTGTTGAGTTTTCATGTAGTAAAAAACTTACAGGTCACATTGGACGGAGTGATTTATATCTGTTACACTTATGCAGATCCACATCGGCCCTCAAAATAGTTGCCGTTGGCCGCTATACAAGTCTGCCAACGTTGATATAGCTGCCGAAAACATTGCTGAAACATATTGGCAGTAAATTCCCGTAAGGCGCTTTGCGGCCATTCCACGAACTTATTGACTGTGGCAGTATATATATATATATGAAAAATTCTAATTTTTCTTCTTTAAGGTGTATTATGAGGACTAGGAAATTGATTTCTTTGTGTGATTCTTCCTGCGCAGTAAATTACATGGATGGTTGATGTTACTGAATTCGTTGAGTATATGTTCAATGTTTATTGTGTTTTGATCGTATATTTGTAGCATGAGTAAGTCGCCTACGTATCTGTGTTCAGGACTAGACATACACTTGTGCTGTATATATGTTTCGGCCAATAATACTGACGTTGTGGAACTCATTATCAGCCGATCAGTTAGTTTATAGTATTGTTGGCCAAATTGGAAGCAATTCTGTTCCATTACAATTTGTAACATTTGTATTATTTCATTTCAATTACTGGTATGGACTAGTGTGTTACTTTCTAATATACTATTAATTATGTTTATAATGTCTCTTTTGGTATATAAGTACCCACATTTTCAATGTCAATGAATATATTCTCATATCACTATAAGTTCGATGGTGGTTGGAAGTGCAAACATTGCATGTTTATGTAAATGTGGCTGTTTATGTACTGTTCTGCTAATTCCTATGCTGGTGCATTTTTTCCAATTAATTATGGGTCTAATGGGTGTGTATGTACGTAGTTTTATCGTGGCGTGTAGGATTCATGTTTGTATATTTCCATATGCCTTCTCTTTTTATTGTGAATTTACATTGTTTTAGTGTTTGTTTTATCATTTTTTGATAGAATTTGTTTGGGTTCTTGTTAATTACAGCAAATTGCTTATCTTGTGTAAAGTTCTTTGTTTGTATTCCCGCTGTGTGAGTATTAATAGATGTTTTCCTTTAGCTGCTTTTGTTATAATGATTTGGTTCTTTCTAATTTTGGTTTCTGAATTGTTATCAATTTCCATTCTTCTTGTTCTTCCTACTTATCATATTACTGTCTTGGCTCTGTTTTTATGTTTATTTTGACAGACAGAAACATGTGGCAACGAATGACATTTTAAAACATTTTAATATTTGTAAATGTAATTTAAGTGACATTTAAAACAAGAATTTTCGTCTGCATGTATAGATGGAAGAGAGTGCGTGAGATATCAATGAAACAGGGCGCTGAAATGTAATATTTTTGAGTTTTGTTTGTACCTGATTTAACGATGATATCCGTCATTCAGACTCAATAGAGTCGAATCAATGAATAATAGTGAATAATTAATCGCAATGATGGAAGGAGGAACAATTGGCAGTAAAACACAGCTCGGTTTTAACATAAACTCCAATTTGAACCAGTGGCGAAAGAGAATTTCTACATTACACCATTTGTGCGTATTGTTTGCAGAGTCTCTACATAAGCGGTCAATAGAATGGTGCATTGTCAGGTTGCCTCTCTCAGTAAGTTTACTCACAAAGGGGCTGTAATCTTATGCTTCAGTTCGTCCTGTCACTCATTTAAACAGTGCCAATACTGTGACTGACATACACACAGAACACAGTAAATTATATACTTAAAGCAAAGGGGATCTTGGGTGTTTCAGGTATTTGTTCCCCTACAACGATGACTGAACAGTGTTCTTTTTAAGGCACAGTAACTATAATAAAAAGGGCTACAAAATATTAAGATTTATTTTTTACCCATTATTTTTACATTAAATAGACTCGCATTTTACAGACTTCTTATTCAATATCCGTTCTTGCCTACACTTATTACAAGACATTCATTTCTTTTCAGCATATATGCAAAATATGTTTGTATTGATGATGAAAATTTCAGTATGACGTTTTCTGCTTGGCTGGTGCGATGTTGTTACCTTTTAAAATAATAATAAATATTATAATAATAATTCTCATTAACATCTTCATCGCTATTACTACGTAACACCTCAGCTGTAAACTTATTTGTCGTAGAGATGCAAACTCATCCACAGCTGCCTCAAGAATACAATGCAATCGCTGTTCTATATACTCGTACATGATAAAGGCCGTCTTGTAACTAGGGTGTGTTTGTGTGTGTGTACGTATAGCAGAAACATCACTCACAATGTGATTTACATCTTGTGCAGAAATCTGAACTTTCTGCTGTTAATTTCAACACTTCATACATTTAGAGACGTCAAAGATGCAAGAGCTTCGACAGATGTTACAGCACAACAATTTTACTGGCATTACGTCGAATTATTTGCGTTTCTCTATCCGTATCTATTTCAACTGAAGAAGGACAACAATGTATGTAGTCGCGGTTCCCAACACGCTGCACAAAAGATTTAAGTTGAGTTCAAAGAATCCGAGAGCTGTAAACCTTGGATCAGTGTTCCACAGTTGCTGAGAAAACAGCTGAAGTTCTGCAAGCGAATCAGCACTAATATGCCTTGGTGACAACAACTTCTGAACAATTTTTAACGTTGCAGAAATTTCAGAACTTACGGCATGACATGACGCAGCAATAGTCAAAACTTTGATTATGCAGAGGCAGGAAATGAAGAGATCTTTTAGAACTCGGACGCACGAAGACGATCCATTCCCACAGTCACCCAGAGTGGGATCATTTTTAGCTTCCACTGCAACATAACTGAACATAACGAAAGATATAAAAGCATAAGATACTTCAGAAAGAATCTGAAATCCATAATCCGAATTTATTCTCTGTACACTCTCACATAATACGCCATGTGCTAGGCGCAGAGCACGAATTTTGTCGCTGTTGTACTGAAGGACATGGCTTCTGACCTTGCTGAGGGAGAATAACAAAGGACCCTTCCTGCCGACGATCTCAGGTCCACTTATGAAGTTAAATTCACCTGCAAGATCCGCCTTATTCATAGAATTCAACGTTGAAAATAAAGGTACCAAATGCTGCTCTTCAAACCGACGATCAACCAAAGATGAAAGCTGTGCGTTTAGTTTACAAAATCTGTTTTTCAAAATCCAAACAAAAACCAAGAAGTGTACAATCATGAACATGCTTATGGTTCTTCCAACAGCCCAACCACAGTACTTGACGACAGATATCAAATTAATGTTTAGTCCATTCGTATCAAAAAGAGTCATAATGCACGAATAAACAAACACTAACAAGATCTGAATGATAATCATTACTCTTATTTTTATGTAAGATGATGATGCCTTTCTTCCCAGTAATATATCATCCACTAATGAGATTTTCGAGCAAAACTCGCTAAGAGTTCCACGATGAGAGAGGATCAAGGTTGAGAGACATGTGCTTGTGAAGGTACAAGTTCGAATTACAACAGGGATAAGACTTTTACTGGAGAGTTTCGGGTACACGTAAATCGCATCCCAGGTAATGTGGAAAAAGAACCATCCCAACATGAAAAGAATCATCACATAGTTATGTAAAGTGGAAACCCCAAAGCGATTTGCTTTGCTGACGTCCCGAATGGCAGTTCCTGTCTTGCCCAGAGGGTACGGCGCGAGCCCCAGTAGCTTGGAGACCAGGTATAAAGGATTGAGCGCGGTGCAGACGCTGTTCCCCGACATTACGAAACTTCGGTTCCCTGTACCAAATGCACGTAATGCTGGAAACAAGAATAACAGAAACAGTATATTATTAAGTAAAATATAACAGGCCGGCCACGGTAGCCGAGCGTTCTAAGGCATATACTGTTTTCGCTCGCTTGGAAACCGGGATCGTGGGTTCGAATCCCACTCAGGGAATGGATGTTTAGTTTGTGTGTGTGCGTTTTTCTGTGTTTGTGTAGAGGCAGAGGCCGATCACTCGCCCAAGGAGTCCTACCGAATGTGTAAGATCTAGAAAAACCGAAGTGAACGGAGAAGTTCATGGAGATAGGCCGAGGCCCACTGGGGCTGTAGTGCCAAGAAAAAAAAATATAACAGTCCGAATTAGTGACGACGTTGTAGGGTCAATCGCATAACCCATGACATACGAGTGAAACTGAACTGAACGCAACCCAGTTGAGTAATGTGACACTTGAGTTCCTTCTCACCTATCGTTTTCCCCCCTTGGCACTACAGCCCCAGTGGGCCTAGGCCTACCTCCATGAACTTCTCCGTTCACTTCGGTTTTTTCTAGATCTTACACATTCGGTAGGACTCCTTGGGCGGGTGATCAGCTCGTCGCAAGGCCTCTACCTGTACACAAACACAGAAAAACACACACACACACACACAAACTAAACATCCATGCTCTGAGTAGGATTCGAACCCACGATCCCGGTTTCCAAGCGAAGACAGTACATGCCTTAGACCGCTCGGCTACAGTGACCGGCCTCACCTATCTTTAAACCGTAAAATTAGTCTCTCTAGCAAGCCAGTCTGGTGAATGTAATGAATATATTTAACTAATTAACAGACACGTAGGAAGGTTCTGTAGAATATATCGGAAATAAGTAACAAAAGTGTGATACTGAAAATTATGAGCAATAAAAGATTCGTATCCAGAAAAGCAAGCACATGTCCTGTTGTTAAATGTAACCCAATATTTAATCTATATTTCTTTACTCTTTATAACTTAAACTTCGTACACGTAGAGAAGTGTTTCAACTACATATGTCTACATTCACTGTACAACCGGTTCTACATCTCTGATATCATATTATCACCAAATTTTCAATTGTTTCTGGAAAACAATAAAAATTAACATTGTGCTTTTTAAGCCACGCAGACCTAAGATCCTTGCCTTCGATATATATCTTTCCTTGGTCATACATGACATACCTTACGAGGGGATGTACAATTCCGACAAACGTAAACTTAACTCTTGTACACACTATTTTTTTTATTGTTAGTGGGGTGGGACTAAGTCCCTTGTACTGCGGCCACTTCTGGCCTATTCTACCAGCCCCAGATGATAGGTGAGGGTGATTGTGGAGCAATTGGTGGAATTAAGATTGGCAGGGGAAACCGAAGTTCTCGGAGAATACCTGCCCCAGCGCCACTTTGTCCGCCACAAATCCCACTTGACCAGACCTGGGATCGAAGCCAGCGACTAACCGCTTGAGCTATGGCGGGGCCCCTTGTACACACTAAGTAGGAGAGACATATAACGACTATTACAAAGGTGAAAGATTGTTAAATACCCAGAATCCATCCCTTGTACATGGCTACAGGTAACTAAAATTACTGACAGTTAAATTACATATAGCCTTGGAGACATCCGGGTTAGTACAATGCCGCATAAAACTGAGTAACTGTGAGCACTGTATACATCAGCAACATTGTTCAAATTATTTGCATTTAAACTTGGTATATTCACTGTGAAGCTGTCTGGATTCATACTGAAGCAGGTTTACGTATCCATTCCAGATACCATAACGAACATTGTGGCGACATGCCTGGAAGACAAGTAGCAATAACAGCAAAGGCAGATCCTGAACCAGTTACATTCATACCTTAACTTCCTAATATCCAGCCATCCTAAGTTATCTCCCATCTCATTCTCTGCCTTCAAACAAATGATCACAAATAACTTTCCCCATGAAACTTTGTGTCCTCCATTCTGGGTCATCTCCGGCTTAATGTAACCTCCTGTATTTCACTATCGTAACATAGTATATGAACTATTAGCGGCCTCAGTAGTCTAGGGGTAACGTTCCCACCTCATGACTCAAGGTACGCGGGTTCAAACCCGGCGGAGGTCGTGGAATTTTTAAGGGCGGAAAAATTCAGGGAACAAGTCCTCCGGGAGGAACTTTAAGCCGTGGGTCCCGTGTCGTAGATTCTCATGTCTCTAGGAGACCTCTGAGCAAAATTAGGCAAAAAGTTTCCCCCCCAAGTAGTTTCCAATGCCTCCGGTAGATGGGGAAGTTATCGGGTACCACTGCCAGAAGAGGGCCGACCTCGCTGGCAGAAAGGGGAGATAGCAAGCACCAGTACCGGTAGGGTATGGCGACAGTAGAAATTAAAGGGGGACGTATAATAGACTACTAGTCGCGGTGCATGGGGAAACCCACCCCGTCTAATACTGAATAACTGAATATGAACTATTTATATACAGAATGGCCCAAAAGTCAGTTAACCTAAATCATTCTATCGTATTGACGCAATTTTCGGTTCTAAACTGCCATTCAATGTGCAGAACGGTATCACAACGTTGTGATTTGTGCAGGTAATAAGGAGGACCACATTTCGAATAATTTTTGTAAATTCATTAGGTCATGAAGAAATTTCCAAAGTATTTTAGTGTGCATTTCAGTGACTTAATTGAATTTTGGGCCAATCTGTATATACATGTATATCACAAACTTATTAGACACACAGTGCCGTAAGTTACTCATCTATTCTTCCTTCTTCGATCCAAATATTTTTCTGAACACTCAGACAACTGTAGGCTACGTTATACCCTCAAAGCAAGAGACCAAGTTTCACACTCATGCAAAACAATAAGCAAACGCTTTACACAATAAGATATATGAGTGTAAGACTATGTTTGATAGGTTAAGATTCTAACACTAAGTTCTGTGTAATATTCAGAAACTTAGAATTTAAATTAAGGCCAAATAATAACAGGTTACAACAATACTTTTAAGCAACAAACTCTTTGAATACATGTTGATTTTACGAAACAATCTGTATACTGACCCGTACACTACACCAAGTTTGTTAACCAACTAGCTGTTCCTCTCAGCAACAGAGACCAACTACCAGTGATCTATACTTAAATTGTACTTGAAAAGACCGTTGTAAGACGCTTCCTACAATACATCGTTAGGGCGTGTTAATTATAGAGCCCATTCACAAGTTGTCACCCGGATCACGCGATGTCCCAGAGGATTTAACTGATCATACATGAAGAGCAGTCTCGTAGGAAGGGACATTTTATATTCGTGTTTGTATAATATTTCGAGTGCAAAAGCATTAATACAATGGCTGACATGTACTCTACAATTGGTACATGATTCACTTAAGGGACAGGTCGTGGGTTTGTTCCCAGCCATTCTGCGATGTTCGGATAACATTGTTCTGTTTTATTTTGGGGGGGGGAGATTTTAAATGTCTTTCGACATAATATATCCTGAATGAAAGGTTTCTTGGACCTAGAAGCACCACTCATGTGCTGCATGACTTTCCCTTGGTCGAAGTATTGTGCCTCTATAAGGGAAGTCCATGGTTTGCACTACATCGTAAGCAGGCTCGTTGCTGTGGTAGTCACGTGAGCGACAAGCCGGGGAATCCCATCTCTCCAAGCAAGAGAGTTTGTTTCATTTAAGGAAAGGGGAAACACGAACTTCAGATCCGTTGCGCAAACTTTCTTACGCCTGTCCTTCTCCCGTACCGCTCCTTCTGCTCATCTTGTTAACACAGTAGGAAATGCGCTTCCCACGCAATCTATAGCATTAATACTGCGTATAACTCCTGTACTCATGTCCAACTGGGTCCACTCGGCACGGCGACCACTGATTGACCTATTCTAGCCTGCCCCGGGTGATTATGATGATGGAGAATTTTATGAAATGAAGATTGGCAGGGGAACCGAAGTACTGGGAGAAAACCCGCCCCAGCGCCACTTCGTCCACCACAAATCCCACCTGACCAGACCAGGGATCGAACCCGGGCCGCCATGAAAACGTCTAGCTGCAAATAAATTCTGCTACTTCAAGACGGAAGACCAACCTGATAGGACTAATATGGAAATACAAACAGAGAGGATACAGGGTCTGTCTCTTGAAGTCATGGATGCGTGAGGGCTGAAGGCAGAACGCGTTCTGGGCTGGGGACGGTATTAAGTCATTCTACGCCCATATTTCTTCAGATTCTAGAACTTTCCTCTTGCGATACAACGACGGGGAGCCGTTTTGAGTCTTGTTCCTTCTCCACCCCCAACTTCGTTCACTGTGGCAGTAGCGCTGCCTGGAGAGCATAGCAGAAACCTCCTACGGCAGTACTTTTCATTTCCTGAAGCGCTTTCTCAATTTTTCTTTTCCAGTCCCACCGACGTTTAAGCCTACCCCAGAGAACTCACTCTAGCCACTGAAACTGGGACACACTAAGCGCATACAGATATTAATTTTCGGTGAGATTTGGGATTCTCACGGTAACTACGAGAATTGCTATCTTCTCGGATGTGACGTTGCCTGGTCTGGTAGAAACTTATGGACGTTCCTTCTTAACGTCAATACAACGCGGTTGAATATTTTGCTTTAACAAAACCCAACAATGAACTGGAAGAAGCAATACAGTGCATTAATTATGTGAAAGTATGTACCTGATGATGACCTTATAAGGTAGAAGCACGTCGTACAAGGAGTCTATATAGTTTATGGAAAATTGGCAATGTAGCATGGCAACAGACTACGAGCGCGACAAGTAGTTGCAGCTCCTAGAATGCCTCTCCCAATTAAATCATATTTTTATTTTTTTAAATACACTTCATTTTCTGTGTACCCTTGTTTGAGAAAATTAAGGAACATGATTGCACTTGTGGGCAATTTACAGTTATTTGAAAAGTACGGGGGACAGGAAATAACCTTCAGCGCATTTTTACAAAGGTAAAGCTCTCCCTGTAACAGACCGTCAAGGGCCATAGGGTTGTGAGAGGTCGAGGCTCCCACATTATCTAGACAATCGGCTCACAAATGGTGCCGACTGCCCATTTACACCCCCCCCCCAAGAAAACACCTGGTACTCGTTTCTGTTAGAGGCTGAATCAACCCCAGGGGCATAGTGCGGCTGGAATTATTAAGGTCAATTGAAAAATCCGATGTCCTCATCGGGACTTGGTCCTGCGATCTTCCGGCTTAGCATAGTGCCTTAACCACTATACTACCGCGTGCCCCCCGACATATAACATAAAATAAATAATTGAAAGAGCGGCAAATGTAGCAGAGCAAGAATGGGCAGCATGAAATGACTGTTCCGGGAATATTGAAGCTTCAGGGTTCAAATCGGAATTGATCATTCCATTAATTTCACAACGAAAAAACATAACAGTTTTCTGGGTTGTAATAGCATGTAGCTCGGAGAAATCCTGACGTGGAACATCTCGCCCTCACCTTCAAGGTCGAAGACTAAGACAAGAAGTAGGCCTCATAAGCAGGCGGGAAGCTCGGGCCTACATAACAGTTTTCTGGGTTGTAACATCATGTAGCTCGGAGAAATCCTGACGTGGAACATCTGGCCCTCACCTTCAAGGTCGAAGACTAAGCAAAGAAGTAGACCTCATAAGCAGGCGGGAAGCTCGGGCCTACCGCCCACTTTTCTCGATATCTTTCTTGGTTTATTCATAGACACTGAAGATTGAGACTATGATTTCCTTCTAAACGTCGGTTGACTTTTGCCGGACTGCACGGCGTTATATCACAGGCGACAGAACGACAGAACTGTTCACAGCCACCACCGTGAGAACCTCAGATTCGGACTAATGTACTTTGTTGTGGATAGCGAAATATACATATAATTTGCGCTGTAAAACAAAATTAATCAGGGTTTAATTCAGTGTGAATAGCAGTTCCTGCTTGCGGTGACAGGAAATTGCGAATGTAAACTTTCATTATTTGACGTAACAGATATATAAACTATAGTTAAGCGTGCGTGCGGGAGTGTGCACTCTTTTATTTAATTATCCAAAGTGACCGGCAGTTCGCTGCAGTAGGTCCCATTTCATCTACACATACAAACTGCAGCCGCCCCATGCGTTTTCATAACTGTTAACCGTCAAAAGAAACAACCGTTATTACTGATTTTTTTTAATTCGCTTAGTGGGGGGGGGAGTCCAATTGGGTACACTCGGCACGGCAGTCACTGATTGGCCTATTGTATCCTGCCCCGGGTGATTATGATGATGGTGAATTTTGTGGAAGAAAACCCGTCCCCGCGTCATATTGTCCACCACAAATCCCACTTGACCAGACCCGGGATCGAACTATTACTGACTCAGAATGTGCACCAAGTTCGAGCTCACATTTGGAAATTTTAACTTTACTTAATCAGCTTCAGGCTTGTAGCATAGTGCCCCCAAATATTCAATAACGTTAAAAGCAAAACTATAAGCTGGGCAGCGAGTGAATTTACGGAAACTTCGAAACTTCATTTTATACAGTAGTTATGTTTGCCATAAACTATGGTAACGTATGCACGTCTGTTACTTACTTACTCATGGAACTAAGCCCTTCTGGAGTAGCCGCCAATTCTGCAGCTACTCGAGAATTTCACAGCATTTTATTGAACCCGAAAGTTCATTACCGTGTTCATAAGAGCCCTCCACTGGTCCCTATCCTGAGCCAGACCAATACAATCCATGACATCCCATCCTATCTCTCTAAGATCCATTCTAATATTGTCCACCCATCTACGCCTTGGTCTTCCCAGTGGTCTCTTTCCTTCTGGCTTTGCCACCAATATCCTATACGCATTCCTCGTCTCCCCCATTCGTGGTACATGCCCTGCCCACCTCATCCTCCTTGACCTGATATTCTAATTATACTTGGAGAAGAGTACAAGTATATGTCGTTTATCGAAGGAATCCGTCCAGGTCCGAGGCTTTGTGTTCGTTTTCGTAACTTACTTATTTTTTACGATGAGGAGTTGTTAGCCCCACACCCAACGCCCAAGCTGGATGGCCATCCCTTGTCGGCTGTCCGCGACTGCTTGTTCCCTCCAAAACTGGAGGGCGTCTCCGAGGACGCGCTATGCCGTGGCGACACGGGAACACCTAACATGGGCACGTCTGTTACCTCATGCTTATTACAAAATACGGGCCAAAAAATTCCTGCAAAATACGATAACTTGTTGGCCGTAAAGTTAACTTGTAGACAGAGATGTGTATTATATGACTGGGGCTTTGGTGCCATCTGAATCAAGGGCAGGTTCATGTGTAACAAATCAACTGTCACGACGCATAGCAAGCACATACTTACATTTCATTTAGTGAATTCATCACTGCCAAACATAAGTTTCCATTACATTATTCCTAATAATTATATTTTAATTGTATTACTGACGCAGCGAATGATTCCAGCTGTTGTATAAGTTCTCTCTGTGTTGCTTTCCATTTTCAGTTAAGTACTAAAGCTTGTACATTGTGTCTGAAGAATGCTAATATTTTAAGGGATTCTGTGAACACAAGAGAGAAGAAGGTGGTTCAAAACTGTGGGGGAAGGGCCAGTGTCTCATTATGAAAACATCCCATTCATCACTGACGTCTTGACAATACAAGTAATCGAAACTGTAAAACTAATTCCTATCTTTCCTGTTCTACCGACAAAGAAGTAATCTCTTGTCATTCACTTTAGAAGTTATCTAGGGAACTCTGTTATTAGATTTGTCTTATCCGGTGTGACAGATCCTTCACCTCAGCCTCTTTATACCTGCACAAAGTTTGAGCTATATGAACGTCCATTCCGCTGTAGGAAAATAATTTTGCGAGATGGCGTGACGAGGTTTATTTTTACTGACATATATAAACAAAGCGCCGGTCACAGTAGCCGAGCGGTCTAAGGCATGCACCGTCTTCGCTCGCTTGGAAACCGGGATCGTGGGTTCGAATCCCACTCAGGGGCATGGATGTTCAGTTTGTGTGTGTGCGTTTTTATGTGTTTGTGTACAGGTAGAGACCTTGCGACGAGCTGATCACCCGCCCAAGGAGTCCTACCGAATGTGTAAGATCTAGAAAAACCGAAGTGAACGGAGAAGTTCC